AGGGGTGGGTAATGATGAGTGCGAACATAAGATGATAGAAATCATTAAAAAAAAAATCATAATCATATTAAATAATAGCACAAATGGGTGTTATCGATTATATTTCTAAAACGATTAAAAGTGGTAGATGTCGTTAAAAAGGCGTTATCAAGCATATCGATAATTACTTTTAAAAGTATATTGATAGAAACACCTAACGATATCGAAAAAAAAGTTTCGATAAATTTATCGATGAAAATATCTGCAAAGATTTCATTACTGCTGCCAGCAAGGATAAGCTAGATCTCCTTCAGCAGCAGATCAATTTCTACATTTATATGGAATTATCAAGTCTCGGATGAAACATCGCTTTCAGCTCCATAATACACCACAATAAATGTCAGGGCGGTCTAAGAAAACAAATGGGGTCCTGGGGGTCAAAACGCGTTTTACTAGGATGGGTACCGGTGCAAGATGATCCACAATTTTTAGAATTTTTGTCTGTCTGTCTGTCTTTATGTTATATATATTTATGTTTTATAGTCGCATCACTCTAATACTAATGCAAGGAATTGAATGCAGTTTTGCCGATGCATTGCTAAAGGTCTGAAAATATAGGAAAAAATAATAAGAGAGTTGCCACCTGTTTGCAAAATTTTAATTTGATTTAATTGTTAGGATAAATACAGGATTTCAATATGGGTAACAAATTACAGAGGTTTAGGAGAGTTTACTGCCAAAACTATTTTTGAGGAAGGTTGCCACCTGCTTGAAAAAACGTGTGCAATTATTAAATTGGTAAATTAATGAAATATTACAAAACGGGTGTCAAACTAAAGAGATTTAAGAAAGTTTAATGTCGAAAAATTTTTGTAGCAGACTACCAACTATTTGAAATATTTCATTCAGTTAGAGTGATAAGATAAGGTACATACTGAATTAGTACATCTTTGAAGACAGTGCACAATATGCAGGATCAAGTTATAAGATTAAAAATAAAATTTAACTGAGCAAACGAGAGACTATGTAAAAAAAAACCAAAGGCTTTTCATCGAAGAAAATATGCATATATATGTATCAGAGCTAGAGACACTTTTTAGGAATAGTGGCTTGCGTGAATTTTATTTTCTATTACTTCCATTATTACCACGAAACCCAATAAATCGATAAAGCCCAAGTTAAAAAGAATTTAGCCTTAAGTAGAAAATAGCTTTCCTGCTAAAAAAAAATTAATACTGCATAAACTTATTTTTATTGATAATACATGTGTAACTATTTAAGTAAGTTCATTCAGCAGAACAGTGTTCACTTACGATTTTCATGCGATTTAATTTACAATTAATCTCACTTGCGCTTAAATACAAAAAAAAAAACAAATTAGTATTTAAAATATAATAACTTACACCAACTTTTTATCTCTATCACACACACAGATTGTCGCCGGTGCCGTTGAGGCGTTCTCAGTTTGCATTAGCATTTTTGTGGTTTTGAAAGTTGGCTTGCGGCGTAGTCTCATCGCTTATATGCTTGTGCCAGGCATTTGTTGCTTAGCCACAAATCTAGTGCCAACGCGAGATGACAACCAAATGATAGTAGTAGCAATGGCCATAATTGGTAAGTATTTTGCCAAAGAACAATAAAAAATGCATGCATTATGCGTACGCATGCACAACATATGTATGTATGTTCATTAGACCGAACCAGAGAAAAAAAGTTCGCCGTATACCTCTGAGTCTAAAGTAATTCTGCAAGGCAGTTTCGAATTTTTTTTTTAATTGAAATAATTCCTTAGCAAAAGTTTAAACCTGGAACACTAACAATATTTTTAATACATGTATTTAGCATTGATTTTTTTTTTAGTTTTAAAGCAACAAAAATATTCTATATGTTATTACCAGACTTGGGATTTAAGGCACTCAAAACTTGAGAAAAAAGGAAATTGAGCTTTCAAAAAAGGCATTTATTTTTTAATTTTGTTATATACATACATACCTTTAGTACCTTTAATTTACTGATGTCAGGGTGGTTCGTTAGGGTGATACGAATATCAGGTGGTTAAGTACTAAAACCGGGTGCTTAAGGTCAGTGAACTTTGGAACAAAGCCTTTAAAAAAATTGTCTCCTCGGAACAAAAACATCGATATATCATACTTTAAAATCCGACCGTAAATGCCGAAGAAACAACGAAAAATTTAAAAAGGCCACCCTTACTTTTAATAAAAAATACTTTTTTTTCGACATTACCTTGCAAAAATAGTACTTTAAACTTAGGGGTGTACTTTTTTATGGTAGGAACGTTCTAATGTACTTACATACATAC